CAAAATGGAACAAATAAAGCGCAGCTCATGCAACGACTGTGGAAACTTTTAACTATATTATAACAAAGACATCACTTTCCTTATTCAAACGGATTTTTTCCCCATTAATATTTGATTTACCTGAAGAATGAAAGCTGCATCATATACTTGGATATTTATATGAGCAATATCACGTTCAAAGCCATGCAAAATGCCTCTATATCAGATGGGTTACAGCGTTGATTTTGTGTGATAAAGATTGTTTATCAATAAAATTAAACAATAATTTGACATATATTGTCTTTCAAGCTTTCAAGCACTTTTCATAAATATGGCTTTTTCAAGGGTTTTCCAGGACTTAAATGTCAAATTCAAGCACATCAAGCAATTTAAGCACCTTTTACGAACCCTGTAACAATTATCCCTAACCCTAATTTTGGGCTAAAATACAATCATGTGATTCACCCGTGCTTTACAAAAGCTGTCCCTCCATTAAAACAGTATTGTTGAAGGGGTCCCAGAAAGCAATTTTGCGTTTAAAAGACGTCTAATAGCGTCCAAAAACAGTGAACATGTAATAGACGTCTAAACCATCGCCTAAGAATAGACTAGTCATCTATAAGATAACAAAGAAATTAAATAAGCGAAGTAATGAAACCAAACACCTTGTAATCATTGTTGACTTTGCCTACATGATGGAAGGAATATCATACATCTCACAAGTTATTTCGGCAAAAACGACAAATTCAAGGTTGTTTTGTCTAGAAGTGTGTTGCTCATAGCCGGACTCTGTCGGGTCTATAGCTAACCGAGACGGTGAAATGACGGCTATTGCTTGCTGGGATGGCACTTCATAACTGCATTTTGTCAACAAAACGTATTTGCCATCTCTGATGCCCCAGAATGCAGTTTAAGGGCAATAGAAGGTGTGAAATTGCTGTGATGTTTGTCATGTGGTGCTCGTGTTCCTCACTCCCTAAAGACAGCTATTATTTGCAGTAATTTCACAACTGGTTCATAACAAGACACCCTTGAGGAATCCTGTCTTTTACGAATAGCTGATTCCTTTCTCTGGTTGTCATCTTTTCAATTGTGATTTTCAAATGAGTGAAATGAAAAGTGTTTCAGGCGGGACTCTAGAGAGTGAGGTGCTGTAGGGTGAAGACACACTTATTGACACACTGTCCATCACTGGAGGAAATTATGCTTGTCAGTTGCATATGCCAAAAGATATACAGCCTAGGACTGGGCAACGATTAAGCGCATCCAAAATAAAAGTTTGTGTTTACATAATACACTCACCTAAAGGATTATTAGGAACACCTGTTCAATTTCTCATTAATGCAATTATCTAATCAACCAATCACATGACAGTTGCTTCAATGCATCTAGGGGTGTGGTCCTGATCAAGACAATCTCCTGAACTCCAAACTGAGTGTCAGAATGGGAAAGAAAGGTGATTTAAGCAATTTTGAGCGTGGCATGGTTGTTGGTGCCAGACGGGCCGGTCTGAGTATTTCACAATCTGCTCAGTTACTGGGATTTTCACGCACAACCATTTCTAGGGTTTACAAAGAATGGTGTGAAAAGGGAAAAACATCCAGTATGTGAAGCCACAACACGCACAACCTTGAGGCGGATGGGCTACAACAGCAGAAGACCCCACCGGGTACCACTCATCTCCACTACAAATAGAAAAAAATGGCTACAATTTGCAAGAGCTCACCAAAATTGGACAGTTGAAGACTGGAAAAACGTTGCCTGGTCTGATGAGTCTCGATTTCTGTTGAGACATTCAGATGGTAGAGTCAGAATTTGGCGTAAACAGAATGAGAACATGGATCCATCATGCCTTGTTACCACTGTGCAGGCTGGTGGTGGTGGTGTAATGGTGTGGGGGATGTTTTCTTGGCACACTTTAGGCCCCTTAGTGCCAATTGGGCATCGTTTAAATGCCATGGCCGACCTGAGCATTGTTTCTGACCATGTCCATCCCTTTATGGCCACCATGTACCCATCCTCTGATGGCTACTTCCAGCAGGATAATGCACCATGTCACAAAGCTCGAATCATTTCAAATTGGTTTCTTGAACATGACAATGAGTTCACTGTACTAAAATGGCCCCCACAGTCACCAGATCTCAACCCAATAGAGCATCTTTGGGATGTGGTGGAACGGGAGCTTCGTGCCCTGGATGTGCATCCCACAAATCTCCATCAACTGCAAGATGCTATCCTATCAATATGGGCCAACATTTCTAAAGAATGCGTTCAGCACCTTGTTGAATCAATGCCACGTAGAATTAAGGCAGTTCTGAAGTCGAAAGGGGGTCAAACACAGTATTAGTATGGTGTTCCTAATAATCCTTTAGGTGAGTGTAAATACACACACATGCATGTATATATTTAAGAAAAATGTGTTATTTATACATAAAATATTAATATTTATATACAATATAAATTATATATAAATAGTATATACATGCAAATGTGTGTATTTATACAGTATATACTAAATAATTATACACAGCATATAGGCCTATACGGTTTACTTGATTATATAAAAATCATGGTAACATTACAACAAGGTTCATTAGTTAAAATTAGTTAATATTTGATATGACATGATCAAAACTTTGAAAAACTTAGGACACGATCTGATCCTTCTGTCGTCTGATTGATAGTTTAGACAGTTTTTTATGAAGTAAAAGTCTTTTAGTGTAATTGTACAAACGTCCTCCTTCAGTTCATGCTTTATGTGTCTTTATGCTGTGAAATCTACACTGGTTTTATCAAGTAAATGTAAGAATAACTTATTTTGTTAGTAATATTTCAAGATGAACAATTACCGGACTGAAGCAACTTCGGTTTACTTGATTATATAAAAATCATGGTAACACATTACAACAAGGTTCATTAGTTAACATTAGTTAATGTGTTAACTAATATGAACTATCCATTAGCAATACATATGTTACTGTGTTTGTTAATATTAGTTAATAAAAATACAGCTGTTCACTGTTAGTTCAAGGATTAATAAAGGATTAGAACAAAGATTAATAAATGCTGTAGAAGTGCAGTTCATTATTAGTTCATGCTAACTAACGCAGTTAACTAATGAACCTTATTGTAAAGTGTTACCAAAACCATGTTCAAATATGATCATATAGTATCAAATATGATCATCAGGCTTTTGACGAAGGTTTATTTGTTCATTGTATTGCATTGTATTATATGTTTTAAAACTACAGAGCTTTGTTTTTAAGACTAAGCGTTTAAATATCATCTTACTAAGACAAATTATTGATATTGATATTATATGCATTTTATGTAAGTATCTGCTATATTGTTATAAATGTCTCATTGATCTACATTACAGCTTTCATCACTTTTTGTCCATATAAATATCAGCATCTGCATTAAAATGCACAGTTTTTGCTCAGTTTTGGCGTCTGAATAAAACGTGGGTGTTTTTCCTCCTCCTCGAGTGTCAGCTGCATATCTCACTATATCATATGAGCCATAAAAGCCTGATGTATCAAATATGATACTTGACAATTTTATTTAAGATTTTGTCTAAAGGTTCAATAAACAGTTCGATTTATTTTTCATGCCATTATTTTACGTCAGGCTTTACGGGGTTAAAAAGTCTGAGAGCGTTTATGAAAATGCTTCATTTTTGCATTCTCTTTTATGAATGCAGTCGACAGCTTGTCAGGTTTATGAAATATATATTTGTCAACTCATATTTATCTGTACATCATTTTTCACGATATAAATTGTTTCAAAGCAGCTTTGCAGGAAGTTGTTTCTTCAGACACATAATGAGAACAGGGTAGAAAAACGGTATTCGTGGCTCAAAGTGATTTAGTCACTCGTCTTGATGTTTTTTCAATTGACGGTAAATTGTAATTTCACATTCTCCTAATATAATCGGACACACTGATTAACTTATAACAGCTGCATTAGTCCTGATCATTATCTGGCAGTGCAAGCCATCAGTTCTGCAGTGCCGAGATAGACTAGACTCGTTCTTTCCCCCGCTGTGCTCAGACTTCTAGGCTGTGAATTGAATAAATCATGAAGAAGAAGAGAGTCACACTGGATGGATGTTATTGAGTGCGATCGCTGCCAGGGATTTCTCCCATGCCAATTTATGACTGTTCTATGGCTATTTTATTATGGGACTTTAATCCTCATCCTTTGTAACACAGCTTTCTGTCGCGGGTCAAAATGATCCGAAGCCCTAAAATTATACTTAATTTTATTTATTTTTTTACAGAAAGCTTATTTTATTTCATTTTGATAATATTTTAATGCACTTTTTTGGGGGGAGATTTTTTGTTATTTTTTATTTTATTTATCTTTAAATTTCTAGATTTGATCAATAAATAATAAATAAATAGTAATTTAAGTGATTTTGGAAAAACTTTAAAAGATGAGTTTCGGGTCAAAATGACCCGAAGGAAGGATGTTAATCTATATACAGTCAAACCAAAAATTATTCAGACACCAGATATAATTTTTTTTTTTTTTTTACTAGTGTGTGCAAGACACTATAGTTCATTTATGTAAATTAAAGTGAGGAGAGCAAAATAAAGTAAACTGTGACATATTATACCCAAAAACTCTTCATGCAGTGACTACCAGTGACATTTATAAACCAAAAATGATTCCTCCACTTTGAGCTGATCATGTTTTGCTGAAGTGTGTTTTCTGTAATTGCTAATGCTCTTTTTACACACAGACTGAACAACATGAAGCATTGCTTGGTCACTGGTTGAGCTAAACTGGTATTATCTAATTGTGTAGTTAAATTTAACAGCTGACAGATATTCAACATAATTCATGTGTGAGAGTCTATCAGAAGGACGGACAAAACCAGTCAAATATCCACTGATCTGAGAACTCTTGACATATTTTATCACCATTTTCGAAACTATAGCGAATCAACTGTGATAATGTGAGATAAGGTGTCTGAATAAATGTTGTTTTGACCGTATACGTGTGTTATCCCGCAGGTGAGGTATCGAGCCCAGCAGGGCGTCACTCGTCTGGCGGTCCTCAAGATGTTAGCGGTCTGGGTTTCAGCGTTCCTCCTCTACGGTCCGGCGATTATATTCTGGGAGCTTCTGGTCGGAGAAAGCATCGTTCCCGAAGACGAGTGTTACGCCGAGTTTTACTGCACCTGGTACTTTCTTCTCTCCGCGTCAACATTCGAGTTCTTCTCTCCTTTCATATCCGTGGCCTTCTTCAACTTTAGCATTTATCTCAACATCCAGCGAAGGAACCGGACTCGCATGGCCAACATCGAGGTCGAGAAAGAGGACGGTTGGAGAGTCATAGACGGACAAAACTCTTCTGTGTTCTTCGTTAAAACGCGCAAGGTTTCGTCAAGCGAACCGGCGGCCATTTCCGCCGTTATCCGAGACGACAACGACGACGAGGTTTCGCCGTCATCAAGCGGGGATCCCAGTAGCACACACTCCGTCTCTTTAACAATGAAAGCCACTATTAAGAAACGAGGATTGTTGAGTCGTTGGGTACGAACGCGGATAATACGAGCGCAAGACGCTTCGAACGCATGTGCACCTGCCAGAAGCGCAGGACAAGCACGTCTCTCCAGAGATAAGAAGATTGCCAAGTCATTAGCAGTTATAGTGTGTGTTTTTGGGGTGTGTTGGGCACCGTACACACTCCTTATGATCATACGGGCCGCTTGCAGTGGCACTTGTGTGGGACATCATTGGTACGAAGTCACTTTTTGGCTTCTTTGGCTAAACTCGGCCATTAACCCTTTTCTGTACCCACTTTGCCATAGTAGCTTTCGCCGGGCCTTCGCTAAGATTTTGTGTCCTAAACGTCAGTCTGTTCGACCACACAAGGAAAGCCCTTCTTGCCAAAGATAGTCTGACTGTAATAACACTGCTTTTTTTACTCAGTGTTTTTGTGTTGTTTCCAGTCCAAATATCAAAAAAAAGTCTTAAATCAAGAATCATTTACTAAAGTAGTGAAATGCTCCTAAGCAGGGTTTGAAAGTAACTTTTTCACTCACCGGCCAATTTGGCTACTACATTTTTAAGTTACCGGCCATTCAGAACTACTTCTAGCCAAAAAAAAAAAAGAAAAGATATATAATTTGGATTTCGTGCATTAATTTCTTACTCAAACAAAATCCTGTCATCCAGCATCTCTTCTTCCTCTTTCCTCCTCATCACCAGTCATGTGTTTTAGGAGGACAGATCTATAATACAGGACACAGAACATGTAGGATGTTGGAAAATAACAATGTCTTTTCTGTTCATCGAATGCTTTTTAATCTTCACTATTGCTGTGACATTACGTGTGTGTTCAAGTGCGCCAGATTAATTTCATTTTCATTTATTTTATTTATAAAGCACACGTAATGTTGACCAATGTCACACTATAAAATTAGATAAATGAAATGTACTTTCAGACAAAACAATGACTAACCAACAAGCCTCTTGCCAATTAACCTACTGAACCAAACGCTTAATCTAGCAAATGTAATATCAGGTTTCATTTAAAATAACCTAAAGAAGGAGCCAGTCTAAGGTATGAGCAGATTCTGTGCAATACGCAGTGTGTAATAGATCATGATGATCAGTATTTGCTTTAAATCTCTGCAGATTTGTCTTACACGAACTTTCCCAGCAAAGTGAGAAAACATAATAAGTAACAGCCAAATTGGCTCGTGATTCGACACTGTTGATTTTTACATGCATTTGGCGGGTGTTACTTTCAAACCCTGGCTGTAAGATATTATGTCTTGTTTTCTGGGGGTAAAAATCTAAATGAAGTGAATTTTTGCTTAAAACAAGAAAATCTACAATAATCTTTATTTTTCTTACCCCTTTAGCAGATTTTTTGACCCCTCCCCCCATAAAACAAGACATAAAACCATATAGGATTTTACTCATCTAGTAAATGCATCTTGATTTAAGAATTTTTAGATATTTGGACTGGAAACTAGACAAAAAAAAAAAAACCACACAAAAATAAGTCTGTTGGACCACACGAGGAAAGCCCTTCCTGTGCCAAGGATAATCTGACAGCACCAGAAGGGATTTAACTCTTTCACGCTGAATATTGAAGGATGAAATAAAAGCACCAAGCGAAACATTTTTACGCCCAAGCAATTCAACAATGGAAATCCATGTCATTATTTGATGGAGTAGCATGTTTAATTCTTCTTCTTCGATGAAACTTCCATAAAAAACATAAATGAATTGTGAAGAAATGGATTGATATAAACAGAAACACAAAGCTGTTCTTATGCGTTCGTCTCTTATCTTGAGAATGGAGTTGTTTGACTCTTATTAGCTAATGTAAGTTGCATGTTTGGGACATCTGTGGTGAAAAGTGATGCAGCTTGTGTTCAGAACATATTCAGTTGACTTTTTTGCCCATATCAGTATTATTTATTGACTATTGTAAGAGCTGATGTATGTGAGACGCATTACAACTCGAGAAGAAATACATGGTGTTTTTTCTCCACTAGCTTCACAGTCACATCTATATCACCTGCTGTGGACAAGATTGAAACTAATATGTTTTTTAATGGAAGTTTTGTGAAATGTGTATTAAGTTATTGATATATCAGTTTACAATACAGAAAGGAATGCATTTTAAAGGGTGAATTTGCTCGAAAATGTAAATTGTTGTTCATTTTGAAGATTTATGGCAATTTTTCCATGGTACTCTTAAAGGATTAGTTCACTTTTTAAAAAACTTTTGCTGATAATTTACTCACCCCCATGTCATCCAAGATGTCCATGTCTTTCTTTCTTCAGTCGAAAAGAAATTAATGTTTTTGATGAAAACATTCCAGGATTTTTCTCCATATAATGGACTTCAATGGTAGCCAAACGGTTCAAGGTCTAAATGACCGTTTCAGTTCAGCTTCAAAGTGCTTTAAACGATACCAGACGATGAATAAGGGTCTTATCTAGCGAAACGATCTGTCATTTCAAAAATAAATAAAAAAGTTAAAGTTTTATAGGCACAAATGCTCGCCTTGCGAACTCTCCTGTTCGAACTCGTTCATTTTGATGAACGAGTCAATGACTCGAAAAAAGATTCGTTCATTTTGATGAACGAGTTCGAACAGGAGAGTTCGCAAGGCGAGCATTTGTGCCTATAAAACTTTAACTTTTTTATTTATTTTATAAATGAGCGATCGTTTCTCTAGATAAGACCCTTATTCATCGTCTGGAATCGTTTAAAGCCCTTTGAAGCTGAACTGAAACGGTCATTTGGACCTTGAACCGTTTGGCTACCATTGAAGTCCATTATATGGAGAAAAATCCTGGAATGTTTTCATCAAAAACATTAATTTCTTTTCGACTGAAGAAAGAAAGACATGGACATCTTGGATGACATGGGGGTGAGTAAATTATCAGCAAAAGTTTTTTAAAAAGTGAACTACTCCTTTAATTCCCATCATTTTTATAAGATGAAAATCAATAAACTCATACATGATGAGCACTGGAATGTAGCACAAGGGTCATATGGACTATTTTTATGGTGCTTTTTTAGTGATATTTACATTGCAGCCCTAATCCCTATTATGAAAAACGAGCTCTCTGGACATTCTGCAATGCCTCTATTTGTGTTTCATGGGAAAAATAAAGTCATACAGCTTTGGAACGACATGTGATGAAAAAAAATTCTATTTTTTTCGGCCTACAATCCCTTTACAGTTGTTCTCATTCGCTTTGGTACATTTCTCGAATCATCCTCGACATTTGTAAAACAGTAAGTGCATTTCTCAAAACAATTCGTACAAATAGCAAAACACCGGATTACCTGGAAAAGCGTCTCTTGCTCAACATCCTCAGTTCATCTCTCAAAAGTACATAATGTTTCAGTGAACATGTCAGTGCCTTCAGAATGACAAGTCTGTGTGTTGTTGTGTACGGATATAAGACTTAGTCGACTTGCTTAGTCATGTTGTCAATATAACAGTGTACTCTGGAGATGTTCTGATGTAAACTATGGATAAAGTTTTGATGACAATTATTGTAAATTGTAGGTTACACACCTTTAGTGTATGTGGGAGTTTGATTGCAAGAGACTGGACAAGATTCACATTTACGCTTTTACTGTTTGTACTGTATGTTGTTGACAGACCGTGTCATTGCGATACAGAAAGGAAAGAAAACAACAAAAGTAGAAATGTGAACATAGGACAATCTCCTGAGGGAAAACTGTACATTTGTTCAACCATTTTGCATGTAAAGACTTATGCTATGAACTAATGCCTAATGTTGTGTGGGGTGAGACTATTCAACAGACCCATTATAACACATTTTGATCAACATGACACATAAGCAATTGATAATGTAGGAAACAGCAGAGAATTGTACGTAATCATTTGCATGGACGTACCAAAGCATTTGCAACTTGTTCAAAGAAATGAGAAACTGCTTTTTTGATGTGCACAAGTGACATTTGAGGATTTTGACATTTGAGGATTTCAATTGTGATCTGAGAAATGTACCAAAGCGATTGAGAAACACTGTAAGATGTGTTTTTGTTTTTTTATTCAGTTAAAAAAATAGATTCATGGTTACAATGTCATTGTCAACAACGATGAAATCATTAAAATGGCTTTTTTACGAGTATAACTTTGAAACTTTTACTATAATTTCAATGTTGTTGTTTTTTTTATCGTAAATCCTTATAAACACGAGACACTTTCTTGTTTTGTGCGTGTCAAGTTTCCATCTTGGATCAGTCATACTGTGTGAGTTCAATTTCACAGTAGTCAAGAAAGAGACTTTATAACTCATGTTTTTTATGGATTAAACCCGGTTCTCCAACCGAGACCAATTACATCAGTACCTCCTCCCAAGTTTTGTGAGATTAATTTGACTGAATTTTTTTATATCACTGAGGGAAACATCAAGAAATAGCAATAGTTTTAGTTTCTTCCAGAATAGACCACCTTTCGTTTGATATTCAAACCATATTGATCAATAATAACAGTCTAAATGTAAAAGCCCCAAACCACCCAGCAATCACTTTGCATACACCTCTAAAAACCTGGTCTCATCCCTGGAGAGAGAGTCGCTACGCTTCTGCGGCTCTGGTCAGCTTTTTGCTTCAGTGAATTAGTAAATGGCTTCTTTCTCCCCCAGATGGCTTTGAGAGCACTTCATTTATCAGTGATGTTTTCAGCTCAAGTTAATTAAACCCCAATGACAAGCATCCTCATCAGATGCTTGAATTTGACAATCTGAAATCTCTTAACCAGGTGATGCTGTTGCGATATATACGGTGTCTAATGTAAAAGTGGACGTGGTTATTTACATGATCAATGGTTCCAGCATTTAGAGAGCAGCGTTTGAAGTGACTTTTCTACTTGACACTTCAATAAAAGATTGCTTGCATGTTTCCTTTCGTAGTTGTGCAGTAAATATAAGCAGAAAATCGACATGACGGTTTTAGACTAGGCATTGTGCATATGCACAAAAACCATCCGCTGGGAACAGGTCGTAGCATCAGTGAATCACATCAGCGTGAACCTTCGCTCTGGGCATCCCATTGCTTATGGATGATAACCTCACACATAAATGTGTGGATGTCAGGCTGTCCTGAATTTGCGCTGATGCACGGAAATAAATCTGTGGCCAAATCCCTTTGAAGATGTTCCACTGAATTGCAAACGTCTGACTCAAGCTGTTAGCAAGAACTTAGCTTAAGGGTTTAACATTACAATGCAGTGTTGGGGACCAGTTTGATTAGGAGCTTATATGATCACTTTCTTTGTGATTAACAGTCTAAGAAGGTCATTTACTCTACTGAAAAAAACAAACAAACAGCTTAGACCAACATGACCATGAATTTCCTTTCTGGTCCAAGCTGGTTTATGTTGGTTTATGCTGGCTA